GGCGGCGGGCCCGGGCGCCCCCAGCCTCTCCCACCGTGGTCCTGTGCCGGTCATCACCCGTCCGCCCAGCCGGGGCTCGAGGGCCCGGGTTGGTGCAGCTGTACCAGAGCAGCCCGCCTCCTGCCATACACTGGTTGCTCTGCCCAGGACCCCGCCCCAGAGTCCCCGTCCTACAGGAGCTGGCTGCAGACAGTCGATTCTGGGGGCTCTGGCTGAGTTTTCTGGAAATAAAGCATTTATTTGTCTTTTAGCAGTTTAAAAGCCTTGTCTGTGCGGACCCTTAGCTCAGGCCTGTGTACTCTTTTCAGCCTCCCTGTCCACCACGCTGACCCAGGGGCTGCCCCGGACATAGAAGCGCAGGGGCTTCCGGGCCCACTCCCCTGTATTGCCAATACCCACCCTGGCTGCCGCCACCACGGCGGACCCCCTGGGCCCTGGGGATCCAGGCTCCAGCCACACAGCTTCGTCCTGAGCCAGGTCCCGCTGGTCAAAGCTCTTGTCGATGGCCAGGGCCTGGCAGAGCTTGGAGGGGCCGCTGCAGAGCTCACGGTCCTTGAGGGCTCGGCTGGCGGTGCTCTTCCGGAGGGACTTACGAAGCTGCCGCATGGCCTCCAGGCCCCCCAGGGGCTCCAAAGCTCTCAGCAGGACGCAGGCTCCATCCCCTGTGGATAGACAGGGCTGGGATGTGCAGCTCCTGGATCCAGCTTCCCTGTGCAGGGCATGCCATGGGGGGGCTGCATCCCACCCCTGCCTCGACTGGCCCTCCACACTGGGACTGGGCAGTGGTGCCTTCTGTGTGCTGCCCCAGGCAGGGCTCTTCCATGGCTACTGGCCTCTGCGGTGGCAACCCCCACGAAGCTACAACCAGCTTGGAGGAGACCCTGTGAAAATAGGGAGTGCTCACAGCCACCAAGAGACAGACCGACTCAGGCCTGGCCGAGAACCTCAGCCAGGCCCAGGACTACCCACCTACCTGGCCGACACGTCCCTGCAGGACAGGGAGATGCCTATGAGGCCCCTCACCTCGGCCTCTCCTCCAGTTGAGCACCTTCGCCCACCAGCCCAGGCCACTTCTGAGGCCAGAAATACAAACTGCCGTTCCTGGGCTCAGGCCTCCGGGGGGGGTGCAAGTTTCCAAATTCCCTCCCCCACATTGTCTGGGAAAGCCCCCAGATTCGTCAGGGGCAATGACTACCCCCAGCGTGGCTGCCTTCCTGAGACGCCAGCCCTGTCTCACCTGTGCATTCCTGGCCCAACCGCCCGGAGGCAGAGCTGCTCCACACAGCTTCCGCATCACTCCCGTCCCCCCACACCCTGGGGCCTGCCCTGAGTGGACAAGGACATCTTTCTCACACAGCCAGGGTGCCAGGGACTCTTGACCCTTAGCCTGACAGTAATAACCGGGCCGTCTGGGAGGGGCTCCCAGCATGTCTTTTTCAGGTTTTTGCCAGAGGGTGGGTGCCTGTGCTCGCTGCAGAGGGACACAGAGTGTGAGAAGTCACTGCAGGGAGGATGGCCACCCCGCAGTCCCTTCTTCGTGCTCCTGGATCGGGGGCATGACGCACACACATTCGTGTAATCAGCTGCCTGGTCGGACCAGAACTGTGGGCCACCATGCAGGACGCCAGCACTAGCCACCCCACCGTCTCCTGGCCCCAACGCTGTTCTTTTATGCCTGAGAGTGTAGCGGGTAGACATGGGGCAAGAAGAGAGCAGGAGAGAAGCTTCTCCCGATGGGCCTGGCCCCGCCCTGCACCTTCCTCCTCCACTGCGCCGTCCCCCAGGGCTCTGGCTCTGACACCCCAGCTGCCTGCCCCGGGGTCACAGGTCCTACCTTGCCGCACTTGCTCTGACCTACAACACGCCAGATGCCGCCCGACTGGCCTCCGGGCGGGCCAGACCAAGCCTGCTCGAGGGCAGCAGTGACCGGGGCAGCAGTGCCCTGGCGGCACCCCACAGCCACGTAGTGTCCATGGGCGGGGCGCACAGGTTCTCCCGGGAGCGCGGACCCAGCACCCACCCAAGGTCCCTGCGTCGCGGGCTGTCAACAGTGCCTGCAGCTGTACCCACGAGGTGCCAGCAGCTCCCTGGGTGTGGTGACCACACGTCTCCATGTGGCCTGATGGCTCCCGATCGAGAACTGAACCAGACCTTGTGACAATGAGTCCAGCTCACCCCAGATCTTCTGTGTCCTCATGGTCAGTGGTGGCCTGACGGGGCTCCTCTGCACTCAGGCCCACCCACTCTCCTAACCAGCCCTGTCACCTTCCAGCTCAAGTATCTGCCACCCCAGGCCACCGTGGCTCTGCTAGACAGCCCTGCTCACCTCGGCTGGACACGTTCATGCAGAAGTACATGCCATAGATGAGGTACACGTACAGTGTCCCCGGCTTCATGAACATGCCACGGTTGCGGGGCGTCTGCCGGCCACCCCTCGAGTGGGCAGCTTCATCTTCTGGCCCCAAGTATGCCTCAGTCTCCACCACACGGCCACGGAGCTCCGTGCCATCAGCAAGTTGCCGGACCAGGACCTGTGGGGCAGTCGGTCTGCTCAGGGCAGGGAGGGATGGGGTCCCTGTCTTGGACTGGGGTATGCTGACACCAGGTGCAGCCCCCACCCCAATCTGCCCCTTTCGTTGCTCCTAGCCTGGGCTTGAACCCACCACACAGGCTACCAGTTCTCGCCAAGCATGCTCCTGACCACAGGCTGCCCAGACCCTGCCGAATGGCCTGTCCTGGACAGAGGCCTGGGACCAGCTGGCACTTGGGACCCGGGCCAGGCCTGATGCCACAGGGTTCACTGCAGAACTTCAGACTAGCCCTCCCTAGGCCAGAGGGGACAGCTGACAGGCCACACCTGCCTCTGCCCACGGGGTCCAGTGGTGCCTGTGGCCAGGGTGAGCATCATAGCTCAGAGCCTGGGGGCTCAGTGGGTGTTCTGGGAGGCCTTCCTGGACACCAGGTGGAGAAAAGGAGGCTGAAACCTGAGCCGGGGACCCAAAACTCCCTTTTGCGTCCACAGCAGCTTAGGCAGGCCAAGGCAGTGGCCCGACCACCTCCCGGACCAGGGTGGCCTGGTCCAGCCAGCTTTCCAGTGTGACGAGGATCCGCACCTCACAACACAGCAGCCAATTGGCCTTCCGCAGAGGGGCTTCCCACGGGCTCTCCTCCGGCTTTCCAACTTCACTGACCCCACGTGTACCCAGAGCAGATGCTGGTGGCCCCAGCCCCCCAACCACCCGCCCCCCACCGCCGGCAGAGGGCCCGAGGGAGGTGGCACCCTCCTCAGCCCCGAGCAGGCAGAGCTCTCCTGGCAGCTCATGGCGAGACCCGTTAAGCAAGTGTGCTGCCCACCCTGGCTGAGGACTGCGGGGCCCCACCAGGACATGGGGCAACAGACACCCTGCTCTCCGCCCAGCCCGTGTGTCCACCGTGGGCTCGGGCCCTGAGGGAGCCTGGGGAAGCTCTGCAACTCGGAGGGCTCCAGGTGGAGACCCGATCCTGGGCCCCACCTGCCGGGTGCCCGTCTGGTCATCCTGCCCCCACTGGGCCCAGCCCGTTTAGGACCGCACCCTTTCCGACTCCCAACTCCTGGCCCGTTTCCTGTCAGTCACACAAACTGGCTCTTCCCGGCCACTTTAGTCTACCAGTGGGCTCGTTAAAGGACGAGGTGGGCCACCAGCCTCCAGGAGAACTAGAGCAGCAGGCCTCTGGCATGGAGGACCAGCACCCCCAAGTGCTCCAGACAGACTGACCATGGTCCCTGCAGGTGACCTGCCTGAGGGGACCCCAGGTGGCTGAGGGTGCCCCTTTCCCAGTTTGGAGGCTGTCCCTGCCCAGAGGCTCTGCAGCTCCAGCCAGGGCAAGCAGTGCTAACAATCCTCACATTATTCTCGCTGACCCGAGACTCGGTCAACCAGGGACCCCACAGCCAGGGAGCAGACTGCGAGGACAAGGAGGTCAGCCCAGGGCTGAGGTGGGGAGGGCTGGACCAGGGTGCCCGCGGCGATGAGCACTTCGCAGAGCTGCCCTGCTCACGTTACCTGTCCCAGAAACGCCCGGGCCAGGGGCACTGCAGGCTGATCGAAAAACTCGGACCCCAGTCGGACAGACTGGCCCTTTGGGCTTGAGAAATAGATGCTGCACTGGGGGCCCAGGGCTGCCGGTGCTCCCAAGCGGGGCTCCTTGGGGGAAGGCGACTGGGCGACAGCTGCGGGGCTCCACTGCTGCTCTGCCTCTGCTGGTCTCTGCTTTTTCTGCCCCCTCCTCTGGGACAGCTGTAATGGAAGAGAAGGCTGAGTGACCGCCAGGAAGACAGCAGCGATGGAGCCAGGCTGGCGAGTGCACGCTGCTCGCCGTCTTCACCTGCAGGGCCGAGGTGACCACAGGCAGAATGCACTTCTGACACATGCAGCCACAGGAAGGGACTGCATGAGGATGGCCTGCTGGCAGCAGCAGGGTGGCCGCTCTGCTGCCCCCTCCCATGAGTGGGAGATGCAGTCTGGGCGCCAGGGCTGGAGGGACCAGGGAGGGGACACTGGGTGTGTGAGCCTGGGTTAGAGGAGGGCTGGTACCCTCTGAGTCCCACTCATCACGTGACCCTGAGCAAACTTCCGACCTTGTTTCTGGAGCCCAGCCCTTTGCATCTAACCCTGACTAGGACTTTCAGAACACAGCTGGGGCCCCCCGCCGGCAGCTTGAAGTTTGGAGCACTGGATCTCATGCCACCCTGAAGTCACTCTGGGTGCGTGTGTGTGCATGCCTAAAATCCCAAGAGGAAAGTATAGGGGAAGGGTTACGGTGCAGCTGTCCCCCCAGGGTGATCTCTCTCAAGAGCGAGCATACACCCTATAGCAAAAAGCCCAATAGACAAACCTGCAGTGGGGCCAGCCCAGGGTGGTAGTTAGGGCGCTCTGCAGCTCGGGCCAGGACGAGGGATTGGAAACACTGAGCACAAGTGCATGGGTGCCCAAAGCCCTGAGCAGAGTGGACGGGAAGGGACCGCAGTGTGGCCACCCCCTTAGGGCTGCTTTCTCACTTTCTCTCTCTCCCTCTCTTTCTCCAAAGTGAACGAAACAAATCCACAGCTGGGACGCCAGTCAGACCCGGGAGAAAGACTGCAGGTCCCCGTCAGGCTGACCGAGCAGAACACCCTCGGAAGGCCCAGAGCGGGTGCGCGTAGGGTTGCCTGCCTGGCCCGTCCTAGCGCTCAGGCCATGACCCCGGGCCCCTAGCTGTCCTTTGCCATGGCTGCAGGTCTGGGAGTGACGGCCAGAGAGCAGGGCGGGCGGACGGGCGCAGTGACCCCGAGGCCTGGCAGGCGTCCCCGCGGCACGAGACCCATTATTTTTAACAAGAGCTGCGGTCCTTGCTGAACGCAGGCGGCCAGGCGCCGGGAATGGACGCTGACGTGCCCGTCTCCGCAGC